CAAGCACCACGGCTCATCCCGGCGTACGGCGTACGCAATTGCACATTGCACAATTGTATTATTGGAGCGGTCTAGAAGAAGACGTGAAACTCTATGTTGCGGCGTGTGAAACTTGTTCGCGATACAAGCCAAGCAGCGCCAAGGCGAATGGAATAATGATTCCGATCGAATCGCCTGAGGAATGTTGGCACACAGTTTCGATGGACTGGATCACGGGTTTACCGGTCTGGAACGGAAAGGATGCGATCATGACGTGCGTTGACAAAATGTCAAAGCGTCCGGCATACTGTGCGACAACGTCGAACTCGATGCTCTCAAAGCAACGAAGGAGTTCTTCGATGCAGTCGTGCGACACCATGGTTTTCCAGCAGTTGTCATCAGCGGCCGAGATTCCAAGTTCACGAGTGAATTTTGGCAAGCGTTGATGAAGATCATGGGCGTGAAGCATTGCATGAAACGGCGGGTCGAGCGCAAAGTGATGGAGCCACCGAACGACAAAATTGGACCCTCGAAGATGCTTTGAGATGTCAAGTGTCATACTTGGGCCACGACTGGTCAGAACATCTTGGAACCATCGAATATGCACATCAAGGCCTAGTTCAAGTGTCAACGGGGTTAACACCATTTGAAGTGGATACGGTAAGAAAGTTACGCAACCCAGCGCTGAACGAGATCGAGGCACTAAACGAGTATGCAAAGAACTTCGCGGAACACCGCAAGGAACTTGTGCGCATGGCGTTTGACAACCTCGAGAAAGCACAAGCTCGACAGAAGAACTACTACGTCGGTAGAGTTCAACGAAGGCGATTATGCGATGCTGGCGACGCGAAACATTCCGTTGAAGCATGCTCAAGTCAAAAACAAGAATGTAATGGCGAAGCTCGTGCCACGATTCATTGGGCCGTTCAAGATACAAGAAGTTGTGAACGCCAATGCGATGTGGTTGAAGTTACCACGAAGTATGAGAAGGCTTCACGATGTCTTCAATGTGGATCGCTTGAAGCATCATGTCCAAAACCCAGAGCGATTTCAAGGAAGACCAATACCGAAGGTGACTCCAATCATTCTCGACGACTCTGGAAATGAACTGCACATCGTTGAAGCGCTGTTGAAGCAACGACAGTTCAATCGGAAGAAGGAGTACTTGGTCCAGTGGAATGGTTTGCCCGAACACGAAGCAACTCGGGAGCTTGAGGGCAGCATCAAGCATGTTTCCCATTTCAAACGATTGCTCGAAGACTCGCGTTCAATAATCAAAGCTGCCAAGTCGACAACCGGGGGTGAATGTAACGATGGCAAGGTTGCTGACCAAGAATACAGCTTGTCGGATCGTTAACGAAACCGATGGCAAGCAAGGCTGTCGAACAAGTCAAATATTGTCACACCATTAACGGGCAAGGCCGTTGAAGAAGGCGTAGAGAATAACCTTCAACTTGAAGTAGATTAGTGCAGTATACATTTTCGTAGCTAGTAGATGAGATCGACAGCCCATTCCTTCGCAATTCGTCTAGGAGTTGATGTCAGCCCATCCTTGAGGAATCGGGGTCATCAAGGCTTTTGTCTGCGAGGACAGCAGCTCCACCGCCGCGCTATGGGACGTCTCCATGTTGCTCTCCAAGAGGGAGCGCACATGGGCGATGCTAGAGCCGCGATCGTTAAAGTTAGCCCGCTCAAGACGGGCGGCTTCCAGCGCACGCTGGTTGCCTCCTTTGAATTCAATCAAATGTCCACGTCCTCATTGGATTCCAAGTGGCGGTGGACGCTGGGGGCGATTTTGGCCGTGGTGAGAGCAGCAAATGCAGCGATGTAAGTAGGCTTGACCATGATGCAGTTGCTGGCAAATTGAAATGTGAGAAGGGTGTCGTGACCCCTATAAGGAAACAAAAATAGATAGTATGAATTGTTAGACAGTCTGTTATTGTGAATTCGGATGACATATCAGCCGAGAGCCTGTTGATTCTATTACATCTGAGTACAATCCGTAGCAAGCTTAGGGCTCCTCTGGATACCACGCCATAAAAACATGCCAAAACTCGAAATGAGATTTTACAAAATTTGTCCAATATACAAACGCAATACAAAAAGAAGAGAGGGTGAAACCGTCTGGATTCATCCGGATTCAAACTTTAGCGCGCCAAAACGATGCTCAGGACCATGATGATCCTGCTTCGTCGTCGGCGCCTCAAGCGACGTCGCATGATGTTGCTGTCATACCTGGTCTACCACTACTTCGCATACCTCTTGAAGACGTCAAAGCGGGTCTCCATCTTGTCGGGGGCTTTGTGGGAAATACTGCAAGGAAACGAGGATGCCTTCGAGGAGACGTTTCGAATGTCCCGTGATACGTATGATGGACTTCTGCACGATCTCGTCCAACGTGGTAGTCCAAATGCCCATCTGTGTGCTGTGTGGTTGCTGCGGTTTTCGAAATGCGCCGTTTTGACAGAACATTGATGTTGACGTGGTCACATGGACTGTCTTTACATGAGAAATTGACCATTTTGGTCATTTTTTTTATGCCATAATTCGTGAACTTTCTAGCTATAATTTTGGGCTCCTCTGGATACGTTAACAGGGGTGTTTGCCGATGAAATTTCGGCAAACGCGGTGTTTTACTGCAGTGCTACCCGGAAATCTAGGCCATGAGATGGCGGTGCGTTATCCTTGCCCAGGTGCTCTCAAGTAGTTGACTCAACGCGAAGTTAGTTTAACGTTGGGACATTCACGGTGGTTCCGCACAGTGACGGACATACGGAAGTCACTTACCTGCTATTTGGGGCGACGGTGGTGGGCGGTGGAGTGGGTCCATGATGGAGGACATTGTGGTGTGGCCGCGGTGGCGGACAGCGGGGCAGTGATGGTGGACGGCTACTGTGATGTCCACCGATGTATACACACTAAGTGTGTATGTTTTCGATCGTCGAGTCGAGGAAACGACTGGAGTAGCGCTATACTGCGATGTCCTCTACCGTCGCTGTACTCCACAGTCCGCTGCAGTCGAGTGCAGCGGTGGCCGTTTTGTCCATAAGACGATGCCGCATCTTGACGGACGTACAGCACCTGCGAGTCACTCCTAGATTTTCGTCATTTTATCCCATAATTCGCGGCATCCAGATGAGCCATTAACGTTATTAGTCCAGCTTGCGCTGCCAACAGCATGCAGAAGTCCACCGGAACGATATCGCTACAATAAACTACTACGTAGTATTGTCCTTTTACCCCAATTTTGGACTTTTACTTCTTTTCTTTTACCCCAAGTTTGGACTTTTGTGCTAATTAGCCAAATCTATCGATCGATTCTTTGCACTGATTTTTGAATGTGAAAAAGTGTCCCGGTGATTGTATTCACACCAATTTCGGTCACACACTAGTTCGATGTCGGTGATGGTTTCCTGCAATTTGATTGGTTCAATCCTTCTGCCGATTCTTGTGGTACATTTGGTTGTGTCGATTCATTCTAGTGGAATGCCAGTGGCTTCCGACATGTTGCGCATCGTCGAGCGTAGCGATTGCATGGAGAGTACTGACGACGAGGTCTGTAGTGCATATCGGCGGCTGGCCGACATGGCCTGCCTTTAACGATGGCACCAGTGCGTTTCATTGACAGGCCTTCGAGATACGGGAGACGGTGGTTCGGTGGATGTTGAGTTGGGAGGCAGTTGAAACGATTGCTCCGCGACCAAGCTTCCCATGGCCGTCAGGTGATGCTTCTTCTTGGCGTAGGAGAGCTCTCTTGCGGTGGGTTGCCGTGTCATGGTTGTCGACGTGTTTAGGTCCTGGAAATTTTAATTCTGAATTCCACATTTTGTATTTTTATTCGAAGACCCGATGGCGAAGTAAAAATTGAGCGCCAAAATTTGATTTTCCCGCTTTACAGTCAATAGAAGTTTCATCTAGATTTGGATTCTCTTTTGAACATGATATGATTCATCGAATTTGGACAAGAATTCAATTTTTTGGGGGCGTCTAGAAGTCAAATGTCGGCACTAATATGGAACAGAGGAAGTAAAATATCTTTCCCCGAGGCCAATTGCGTAGTAAATAAATAAGTTATTTACTACTTCCTCTGTTCGCAAATACCGCCGACATATCACCTTTTCACTATTTCCAAATTACTAGCAACATTTGCCAATAGTGAATTCAAGTGTTTTAAACTATCCGGACGTTATCCGTATATTCTGGGTGACTTCGATTGCACATTCGACGTACCACTTCTCAAGTCCCTGAAAAATATAAAACTCAAAAGATCTGATATTTGTAATTTTATAAAAGTGCGAAAAACGAAGCAGTTTTTGAGCATAAAGACGTGCTTTTCGAGCTTTTCCGTCAAAGAACTTTACCTCCCGTTGTAGATACTCTTTCTAATGTGGTTCGATTCATCAAATTTGGATCAAAATTGAACATGTAGGCTCACTGAGAAGTCAAATGTCGGCTCTAATATCGAACAGAGGAAGTACGCAATTGGGTTAACTTTAATATCTTAAAGATCTTGAAGTTCGTGCTATTAAATCGACATTCACGCAATTAACTTGTGAGGATAAAATATTGCCACATAAGAATTGCTGAGGACCACACAGGAATTGCTGAGAGCCACATAAGAATTGCTGAATCACACATGCTTTATGCTGAAGAACACATGAGATTTGCTGAATTGAGTATAGAGTATGTTACACAACGAGATC